GCAGAGAACTGGATTGGAAGAAGAGCAGCCGGGACTAGAACCGGCACCCATATGGGATGCCGGTGCTTCAGGCCAGGGCTTTAACCTGCTGTGCCACAGTGTCGGCCCCTTGATTTAATACTTTGAATAATGCATTTAAGACATTCTGACTGCCTTGGAGGGATTTTCCAGCAGAAAATCTCTGATTCCAGACTTGGTTTTTGAGAAGAAGGGAGAGCGACCCAGTGATGGCTCACAGCTCCTCGCCTCACAGCACACATGGCCTACACACTGGAAAAAGCCAAAAAGCCGAACCTGGATACCCCCCGGGCCGAACTGGACTGTGGGACGAGTAACCAGGGTGAAGCCAGAGTAGGCCTTGCAGTGGGTTCTGGAGACAGTCCGCGTCGGAGGGGAAGCCAAACCCGAGACCCCGAGCTAAGCCCAGCGCCCTTGAGATGGGCTGAAGTGCTCTCAAGTTGGTATCTGCCACTCTCGTTCTCCATAAAAGCTCAAAATAAATGCTCTCTGGGGGAAAGCATCCCGTTGTCAGATCAGAAGAGGGAGAAAGAATAAGGGGAAAAATCAACAAGAGCAAGAGTAAAATGAGCAGAAGAAAAGCTGGGTGGTGGTGGTGGGGCAGAAACCAAACCAAATCTATCACCAGCGATAGTTAATTGAGTGATTTGGAGTAAATTTGCCAATTAATTAACAGGGTTTGAAAAATCAGCCCTTTGCTAGTTATAAAATGATCACACACCAAAGAGCACAGGAAAGTAGGAAGTGAAATGGAATTTAAGACCAAGAGTCCCTGTGTCCTCCTAAGAGACCTGACACACCCACAGAACAATAGAACAGGATTTTTTTTAAAAAAAGATTTATTCATTTATTTGAAAGGCGGAGTTACAGAGAGGCAGAGGCGGTGTGGGGGGGGTCTTCCATCTGGTGGTTCACTCCCCAGTTGGCCACAATGGCCAAAGCTGTGCTGATCCAAAGCCAGGAGCCAGGAGCCAGGAGCTTCTTCTGGGTCTCCCACATGGATGCAGGGACCCAAGGACTTGGGCCATTTTTCACTGCTTTCCCAGGCCGTAACGGAGAGCTGGATCAGAAGTGGGGTATCTGGGACTCCAAACAGCACCCATATGGGATGCCGGCACTACATGCGGCGGCTTTACCTGTACACCACAGCGCTGGCCCCAAGTAGAACAGTTTTAAACTGTGTTATATTACAGTAAGAAACACAGGAATAAAGCTAAAAACTTATCATTGTGATAAATTTTAAACCACATAACAATTTGTAATTGGTTAATCAAAAAATGAAAAAAAAAAGTAAGAATGCTAAAATACAGTCAATGTAATGGGCATATAAGAGCTTCTTCCCCAAAATGAAGGAGTCCTGAACATGCATGAAATCGGTTTTTTGAAATACCTGACCAGGTAGTAAGGTCCTGGAGCAGAACATTTCCAGGCGTCTGTAGGCCACACATTGTGCTCTCTGAGTATAGTGCACTTGAGTTAGAAGTTGGTAAGAAAAGCAGCCTAAAAATCAGGTGAGAAATGGAACGGAAGTTCAATGTGCTGAGAACTGAAGGGCCAGGAAGCCACGTTTTACAGAGGCTATGGCGGAGGGAAAGTGGCCCTCAGTAGGGATTTCATGTGGAGTAGCAGGTAAGGCTGCCACCTGCAGTGCCGGCATCCCACATGCGCACCGGTTCGAGTCCCGGCTGCTTCACTTCTGATCCAGCTCTCTGCTGTAGCCTGGGAAAGCAGCAGAAGATGGCCCAAGTCCTTGGGCCCCTGCACCCGCATGGGAGAGCCAGAGGAAGCTCCTGGTTCCGGGCTTTAGATCAGCTCAGCTCTGGCTGTTGGGGCCATCTGGGGAGTGAACCAGCGGATGGAAGACCTCTCTCTCTGGCTCTACCGCTCTCTCTAACTCTTTCAAAAAACAAAACAAACAAACAAACAAACAAAAACAATAAATCTTTAAAAAAAAAAAAAAACGGGAGTTTTATAATAGTCTCGGGTGCTTATGTGAGAGAAGACACACAGCTGAGTGCCGGCGGACTGGGTTCCCAGCACGGGCAGGCAGACACACACTGCAGACCACAGCAGGAACCCGGGCAGGGGGCAAGGGCAGAATTCGGAGAACTTCCAGTCAGCATCAACAGAACCAAGAGATGCTTTGAAAAGACCGCGAAGGCTCCGGTGAGACTGAGCCGGGAGGAAGGGAGCCGTCAATCACATGAGGGAAGAAAATGGAGATAGCGACAGACCCAGCAGAAACCAAAAGGACAGCAAGAAAATGCTAGAAACCACGCTGTGGCATTGCATCTGAAAACAAAAAACTTTTAATAAGAGAATGGTAGTGCAGGTGCACCTTGTGGAGCGGCCGTGAAGGTGCCCTCGGAATGCCCTAGCCCATGGAGTGCCGGAGCTCAAGCCCTGTGTCTGTTCCCAGTCCAGTCTCCTGCTACTGCACACCCGGGAGGCAGCGGGTAATGGCTGGGAGTCCTTAGGTTCCTGCCACCCAGACGGAGCTCCTGGCTGCGGACTTCTTCCTGCTGCAGGCATTTGGGGAGTGAGCCAGAAGATGGAAGCTTGCTCGCTCGCTCTCTCTCTCTCTCTCCCCCCCCCCCCCCTCTCTCTGTTCCTCTCTGTCACTCTGCCTTTCAAATCAACAGATACACCTAAACAAATTAGAATTCATGAAAAGCTTCACATAGATAGATACCTAAAGAGTGCCACAACCAGTAATGAATTGAACAGGAGATTTGAAGTCTCCCTACAAGCCCAGGTGGCTCTGCAGGTCAGTTTTAGCAAACATTCAAGCACAGGTGATTCCGAGCTGCAGACTCTCCTAGGGAATGCCAAGAGCACAGAGGCTCGTTCTGCGAGGCCAGCACTGCCACACCAGACCAGGCAGGGCCACTGCAGTGAGACTGAAATTGCAGCCCAGTCGCACAGGTGCACATAGATGCAAAAACCCGAAACAGAATACCAGCAAACCAAATCCATCTGTCACTGAAAAGATACTACCTTGTTGTTGACCTGGGAAATGCTAGGAGGGGCTAACATTCTATACGAGGAATTGACTTCATTGATAGATCAAAGGAGGAGAGTTAACTCATTCATAAGTAACATAAAACAGAAACACCTTGGAAAGCCTGGTAGAGTGGAACTTTCAAAACATTAAAAGAACTCCATTTAAAACCAGCGATGAGATGGTGTGTGCGTGCGTGAGTGTGCTTGTGTGAGTGTGTGTCCCCATCATCATCGTTTCTGCCCTTCCCTGGGATTCCGGCCAATGCACTCAGGTAACAACAGGATAAAGAAGAAACAGTACTGCCTCGTGTACAGATGGCGTGTCTCAGGAGAAAACCCAGACAGCTGTGGGAGCAGTAGTCAAAACAGTGAGAGTTTAACATGATTATTGGATTCAAGATCAATATACAAAAATCAACCATTTTTCTCTATACCTGCAAAACAAGGTAACATTTTAATTAGCAATAAAATGTAGAAGGTATCCAGGAATGAATCTAACTGAAGACGTGAGACCTCTGTCAAAGCACATATAAAGCATTATTAGACAACAATGAAAACGACGTAAACCAATGAAAAGATTTATTATTTGTAGGAGACTCAAGATCAGAAATATGCCAGTTATCCCCAAGTTGTTCTATAGACAGACCTGATGCTCTTCTTCGTCTTCTTTTTGGATTACTTATTTACTTATTTGAAAGGCAGAGTTACAGAGAGAGAGGAGAGGCAGAGAGAGAGAGGTCTTCTGTCTGCTGGTTCACTCCCCAAATGACCGCAACAGCTAGAGCTGGGCCAATCCAGAGCCAGGAGCCAGGAGCTTCTTCTGGTCTCCCACGTGAGTGCAGGGGCCCAAGCACTCGGGCCATCCTCTGCTGTTTTCCCAGGTGCATTAGCAGGGAGCTGGATGGATGGGAAGTGGAGGAGCCAGGACAGAACCGGTGCCCACAGGAGATGCTGACACTGTGGGTGGCGGCTTTACCTGCTACGTCACAGCGCTGGCCTCCACGTGTACCGTTTTACACACAACATGTAATGAATCTTTGGAAGAAGTATGAATATGAAATGAGACAGCTTAGAAGGGCATTTCTGTCTTTTAATGAAGACTTTGAATCGAGGCCCTGGATGCGGTTGCTCTGACCCCTGGTGGCCGAGAGCTGAAGTGCAGCTGGGTTTGCTTGCTCCGGGACAGGCACAGGAGGTGCCTGTGTGAGACAAGGGGTCGGAGGTCCCGGCCACCCCCGGTCTCACTCCCGTGGAAAGGAGCACACGCCCTGGGCTTTTTTGATTCAGGTTCCTTTGCCTTCTCTGGCTCTTTACCTCTTTAAGCCCAGCAGGGGGTATGGGGCTGTACTGAAATTTATCCCTGGGTGGAACTAGCTGGCCCTACTCTCTGCCTCTGTCCATCCTGGGGCCACACCCCAGAGACCAGGACTCCGTGAACTCCTGAGCAGGAGTTCAGCACGTTCTGGGGCAGGAGGGCGTGGACTCGGACGTGCATACTGCCTGTGTCCAGGGAAGACCGCCTTCTGGGGGGAGTGTGGGTGAGGAGCCACCCAGGGCAGGTGCAGCATCTCAGGGTTCCTGTGGGGCGTCCAGTCAGCAGCCTGCCCACCCACCCAGCAGGCTGGCCCTCGGGCCGCTGGCTTACCTGCCCCATTTAATCTGATTCCCATGAGAATTTCTGATGGGTGGGGTGGGGTGGTGCTGGCTATGGGAATCAGGCCAGGAAGTCCCCATCAGAATACTAGAGATGCCCAAGAAGGGTGGACTGGGGGAGGAACTCGCATGAGATTTCCCCAAAGTCCTTTTACCACTCCAGCCCAGAGACCATGTGGCCTGGTTGGGAGTGGGCTGAGGATCCAGGCCCTGCACCTGCTGTGGCGGGAGTCCACGGGCCTCTTGGCCTGTGACACACGGTAATCACTGAGCCTGCTGAGTGCTCTAACGGATTAATACAGAGCTCTCTGCAGGCAGCTGATAAAGGTCAGCTCTCCACTCAGGTTGCTTGGCCTCACGCCTGTAGTGAGTGCTCAGGGAGGAACCGCTGGGCAGGGCAGACTGATGGCCGCGGTGGGGCTCTCCTCCCCAGGGACTCCTGTGATCCTCCCTCTGTCTGCAGACGCCATGGAGGTGGTGCTGATCTTCCTGTGTAGCCTGCTGGCCCCCCGCTTGGTCCTGGCCAGTGGTAAGTGCCCCTCACCACGCCCCCAGACTTGGAGGCGTAGGTTCTTCCTGTCTGGTCGGGTCCCCTCCTGTTAGTCGGCAGAGAAAGTCCTGGAAGGAGACAGCAGGTCACGGCCGAATCCCATTGCCCACGTCTCCCCACAGCGGGGCCCGCAGGGTCTGCCATCGCGCTGTCCACGCCCCTGCACTTCTGGCTTTGAGCTCTGGGGGTCAGAGCTGCATGTCGGTTTCTACACCCTTCCTATCCAGTGTGCTGTTTGTTGCCATGACGCCTTCCTTGGTCAGTTTCCCCATCTGTCACCAGAGGAGAGCAGTGCCTGCCTCCAGGGGGCGATGTTAGAATGAGAAGGAGCAAGGACTTCACTGGCCTCTGAGCCCTCCAGGCCCTGGCCCCCTGGCTGAGCCTCACTTACCGGCAGGTCTGCCCCTCCCTGCCCTGCAGGGGAACCCCTGTGGGGCCCGAGATGTGCGAGCCCTGGTCAGACCCTTGGGAACCAGGACAGGCGCCGGCTGCCTCCTGACAGCGTCTCTCTGTGTTCGCAGCAGCTGAGCAGGAGAAGGAGAAGGACCCTTTCCATTATGGTGAGCAGTGACACCACCCTGGGTGCTGGGAGAGGGCGGCTGTGTCACAGGGCCGGTCCGGTCCTGGCCCCGCTCCGTCTCTCACCTCCGTTCCCTCCGCAGACTACCAGACCCTGAGGATCGGGGGATTGGTGTTTGCCGTCGTCCTTTTCTCTGTGGGGATCCTGCTTATCCTAAGTAAGTGTGTGTCCCTCTGTCCCCCGGGGCTGCCATGCGTGGATGCTGCACACGAGCCTGGCTGTCTTCCCTGCGCCCAGTGCAGTGCTGGGCGCGTAGTCAGTGCTCAGCAAAGCAGGGAGGCAGGGATGCGGGAGGGGAGCCCCCGCAGAGGGGGAGGGGCAGAGAGGCTCTCCCGGTGCTGGGGCTGGCCGTCACAGGAGGCAGGAGACAGATGCTGTGTTCCTTGATGTGAGCCTGGTCTGCACGGAGCTCCTGCCGGTGTTGCCGCTGTCCCAGCTGTTGAGTGTGCTGCCTTGGGCTCAGAAGGCCCCACCCCTCCTGGCAGGGCTGCTGCACACAGGTGTGCGTGCAATGCACCCCACCCCCCAGATCCAGGGGGCGCTTCCACCTGTACGGGCTCAGGGTAGCCTGGCCAGGGCTGAGCCAGCAGCATGAGCTGGGACTCACGCCACGAGCCTAACCTGGGACGCTTTGCTTGCCTTTCAGGTCGCAGGTGCAAGTGCAGTTTCGCTCAGAAGCCCCGGTGAGGATGCTGTGACGGTGGACGTGGGCGGGGAGGGGCTCGTGCGTGGCCCCAGAGGGGTGTGCCAGGGACCCTTGTCTCACAAAGGCCCTGTGTGCATAGTGGAAGTTGGAGGCTCGTCAGGGGACCTTGGGGGAAGAGGAGAGGTTGAAACGTGAAGTTAGCACATCCCTCCCTCTCCTGATGGCAAGAACGTGCAGAGCCTTGGCCGGAGCCCTCCAGACAGTTGGACCTGCTGGGAAGAGAAGGAGACCCCGTGGCCTCTCCGGGGCCCCTCCATGCAGGACCTGAGATGCTGTCCCTACTTGTCCCCTCTTCTGAAGCCCTTTTAACTGAGGGGACTCTCGGCCTCCCTCTCCACCCCCACACAGGGGTCGCACTCCACTAATCCGGAACAGAAACCAGGGGTGCCCCTGGACCCCTGAAGCCCAGGGCCTGCATCAGGACACCCCCAGGCCCCACTGTGGCCGTCCCCAGTGCCTCTGGGGCTGACACACAGGGCGCCTGCAAATTTCCTGTCCCGACTGCTCTGTGTGTCCCGGGCACCTGTGGTACAGAGCACGTGGACTGCTCAGAGCCGCTGCAGGAGACCCATCCCACACGGCCCTGGCCAGCAGGGGGCAGCTGTGAGTTCTCCCTGGAGACCTGTGACGGGGCTGTGTGTCTTCCTCCCACAGGGCCCCCGGGGACGAGGAAGCCCAGGTGGAGAACCTCATCACCGCCAATGGTAACTGTCCCCGACCCCCCTCCCAGGTGGAAGAGAGGGGGCTGCAGGGGCCCCGCGGGAGGCCAGGGAACTACCCGGCACCAGCTGGGGCCGCCCTTGAACTATAGCCAGCCAGGCCTTGCCGTGCCAGGTGGGGGCTGCCTGGGGCTTGTACAGTGCCTCTCGCTGCCACTGCCACCACCACCACCACCACCACCACCACCACCACCATGCTGCTTATAGCCCTGGGAGGGAGGTCGTGGGGCCCTCGTTTTCCAACCCAGGGGTTCAGGGAGCATGCCCGAGCTCCTGGGAGCAGCAGCCACAGGGCAAGGACCTTGCGTGTCCCCTTCAGACTGTCCGGAGGCAGGCACGGGCGGGATGGCCACAGGGGCGGGGTCCCCACTCACTGCAGCCCCTTCTGGTTTTCTCAGCAGCGACAGAGCCCCAGAAGGCAGAGAACTGAGGTGCAGCCCTCCGGCGGGGAGGTGAGCCGCTCACGGGGGTCTGGGCGGGGGAGGCCGGCGCAGGGAACGGGGCTGACTGCTGCAGCGGACACAGCTCTTCTAGTCCACCTGGTCTGCGGTGCCTTCAGGAGTCGAAAGGGACAGCGAGCATCCTGCCTGCACACCGTGGGCATCAGAAATGGGGCCTCCAATCGTGCCCGAGGGTCAGCCCCGCAGGCCTCGTCCCAGCCTCCACGTGGGCACGGCCTGGCGAGGAGTTGGGGTTTGCACAGTGCCACTGGTGTCAAAGTAGCCTCGATGACATCATCATGAGTCACAAAGACCATTTCTGGAGAGCCACTTAAAAAAAATGTGTAAAATTTCCAACCCTGTGCAGAACTAGCTCCAAGAGAAGTAGCGCCCCCTCCTATCCTGGTGCTACCAGTCGCTAAGATTGCAGGGTCCTGTCTTTAGGATCAGTTTCCAGTGTGTGCTCAGGGGACACAGAAGTCACCACAGGTCCCTGCATCCCGGTGTCCAGAGTGCAGCCCCTCCCAGGCCCTCGCCAGCCTGCCAGAAGCAGCAGAGTAGGACAGCTGGGGTTGGGCCCATTCTGTGGCTGCAGAAACTGAGGCCAGAGGGCATAGCTACACAGACCGGATGTGACAGGCCCGGCTTGGAGCTCAGGTCCCTGGCTGGCTGTCGGTGGGTGCCATTTCCACGATGGCCCCTGTCCTGCCTGTCCCACATGGGGACCCCCTGGGCCGTGCCAGAGCATCGGGCTTCCATCAGCTCACTTTGGCCTCTCCTTCCTCTACAAGTGAGGTATGAGAGCCCCCAGCCTCCACCACCCTGCTGCCTGGGGATCTGGTGCCTGACACACAGGTTCTCCTGGGATCCTAAGGGCCCAGTGTGCTTGAGTGGCACCTGGACCCATTCCCTAGTGCCTCTGCGTCCCCCTGAACAGCCCGCAGGTGGGCTCAGGACGTCCATCTTCTGGGTGGGGCTCTGCAAGGTAGTGGTGGCCCTGGCTGGAGAGGGCCACTGGTCCCCGTCTAGGAGGTGGGCGTCCTGCCAGGTAGCATGGTGTCCCATGCACTGCCGCTCCCCTGGCCGGCCAGGCCGTGCCTCCATGGCAACGGCGTGGAAAGGCTCCAGGCAGGCAGCCTCCAAATGAGCGGGCTTCTCCTTGAGTTTTATTTCTCCCATGTGTCAGCACCGGGGCACTTGCTGAGTGTGTCTCGGGTTCACGGCTGCCGGGCCCCGGCCGGCCTGGGAGCCCCCTTCCCCTGAGGCCCCTGCTGTCTCGGGCCCCCGCCTCGCTTCTCTGCAGCCCAGGCGTGTCCTTCGTGCTTAGCCAGGGACCTGGGGCTTTGAAAGGCCTCGCTCAGGGCGGGGAGGGGAACAGATCAGGAGCTCCCGCGGGAGCCACAGCTGGGCTGTGACGGAAGTTCCCTCGCTCCCCAGCCTCCGGAACCTGCAGGCAGCTGCCCGGACTGCGACGTTGACACTTGAGAGAAGCAGCCACTCCGGTAGCAGACCTTTTCCCCTGGAGAAGCCGAGAACTTGTGTGTGCCCTGCTCCCCGGTCCCCTCTAACGTCTCCCTAATGATGCAGCCTCCGCCCGCGGTCCCGGCCCCCTCCCGTGACGTGTCCGTGTGTCCATGTGTGTTTGCTGCCTGTGGTCTCGTGGCTACTTGTTTGTGGGTGACACCGTGTTAGTGAACTGTGGACTCGCTCCCCTGGGCAGGAGCTGGGCTCTGGCACTGCCGGCTCCTCCCTGCTCCTACTGCCCCCCCAGCACCTCCCACTCTTCCCGGTCTTCCCCCACCAGAGACCAGCCCTTGTCTTGATTGGGGGGTGGGGGGCAAGGTCAGAGTCGGAGCCTGGGCCAGAGACCCCAGCTGTTGCGGGAGCCGGGAAGGCTTGGCCTCACCCTCACTGTCACCCTTCATGGTTCTCTGCTCCTGTCACAAGTACCTGGCTCCTGTCCCGCCCCCCCCCCTCCACGCACACGCACAGGCTCACACATGCCAGGTCTGGTCTGAAGGTCACTCAGCCGTCGCACATTCAGAGCGAGCAGCCCGAGAGCCTGGTGCAGCCTTCAGGCAGCCTCACACGGCCATCTTCCTCTTGGGGGCTTCCGCCAGGAGCACCCAGGGATGCCAGGCCCAGGGCTTCCAGCCTGCCCCCCTGCATGTCTTAGCAATAACCCCGTGGGCTCTGGGGCCCCCTGCGTCCTGCTTCCCAGACCTCCACCTGCAGCCCGGCTCGTCCCTGATGTTGGGTCTCCAGCAGGAGATGCTGAGGGTCTCCTGCCCTGTTGAGGGCGCTGCTGGGGTGGGCAGCAGCGGGTGGGGAGGTGCCAGGGTGGGCGGTGGGCTTGGCCACTCTGACTGCATCTCTTCTCTGCCCGGCCATAGCCGGAGCGGTGAGGGCTGAGGGAGACCCTGGGCTCCGTGCAGCCCTGCTGCAGAGGGCTCAGCTGCACGGTGCAGGTCCCAGGAATGCAAATGCAGAGCGGATCCCGGTGCCCTCGTGGAGCCCCCACACCATGCCGCCGCGCCCAGGGCTGCCCCTCTGTCTTGTGCTCTCTCCTCGCGATAACATCAGAAACAGGAATAAAATATCACTTGTTTCCTAGCGGCTCTGGGGCGCTTTGCTTTCTGTACAAGAACTTGACCATCGGGAAGGCCTGTGAGCTTAAAGGGCCAAACCGTGGCCGTCCTTGGCCAGGGGCGGAAGTGAGGTCCAAGGAGGTAGCCGGGCAGGTGCGTGTTCATCTCCACTGCTTTGGCAGACTCCCCCACCCCCACCCCGCCCACTTCTCTCCCCGTCCTTGCCCCTGCTCCGCCCTCCTCCCGCTGCCCTCCTGGCCCTCACCCCCCACACCCCAGCCCGGGTCCCCACAGTGGCGGGGCTCCATCCCATCACAGCGCTGGTGCGCTCTGCACCTCAGAGAAAGGAAGTCACTGTGGCTTCTGTGAGGGTCAGTGGCCTGGTTAAAGCTTCTGACTTTTATTTCTGCTCAGGTCTGGGGCTGCAACCAAAGGCCTTGTGAAAGGTGGATGTGGGTGGGTCGCTTGGGTTATGCTCAAAGCCCTTACCAGTCAGGTGCCCCCTCCTCTGGGAAGCCTTCCTGGCCTTAGGTGCAGTGAGTCCCTTGTATTCTGGTAGCACTTGGTCCCTGGCTGTCTGCACAGTCGGTGCCCTGTGCCTGGATCCACACTGTAGGGAGCGGCCAGGTCACGTCCCTTGTGCAAATCGGCCTTTGTGGCACTGGAAAGGGGGGCTCTGGGGTTACCTAGGACATCTTCCCAAGGACGGTGCTAAAATTTTAAAATTTAAGTGTCAACTTTACTTGCTTGAGAGGCAGAAGGTCAGAGAGAGGAAAGGCAGTGGGGGAGAGCTCCTGTTGACCAGTTTACTCTCCAGAGACCCTCAACCCAGGCTTCCCACACAATTGGCAGGGACCCAGTCCCTGGAACCATTCACTGCTGCCTCCCAGGGTCTGCATTAGCAGGAAGCTGGGGCCAGGGCCAGGGATGGAACCCGGGTACTCTGATGTGGGACACAGGTGGCCTATGCCTGACACGGCACCCCCCCCCACACACACACACACAAGACATTTCAGTTGAGTTTCTGAAAAAGTGCTGTTAGGTCGCATTGTGGTGCAGTGGATTCAGTTCAAGTCCCAGCTGTTCTGCTTCCAAATCCATCTCCCTGTTAATGTGCCTGGCACGGCAGAAGGTTATAGCCCATGTACTTGGGCGCCTGCCACCCACATGGGAGACCTGGATGGAGCTCCTGGCTCCTGACTGCCTGGCCCAGCCCCAGTCACTGGGGCCTTTGTGGGAGTGAACTGGCAGATGGAAGATCTCTCTCACTGTCTCTGTTCCTCTGAGTTTCAAATAGTCGGGTAGATAAAGCTGGAGGGCCCAGCTTCCTCCTTCCGGAGCGCTGGTGTTCACATGCAGGGAGGAGTGGTCCCATGACCCGGGCGGTCCTACCCAGAGCACGGCTGTCCCTGCAGGGCACTGACCCGCGCCACATGATCCAGGCAGGCTCCGGTGGGAGGTGAGTGGCCTGGGAACGGGACACATGGAGGTCAAAATAGGGAATAGCAGCAGCAACAAAAGGAATTAGAGCAGCGATGTCTATGAAGCACTCACTGTGTGAGCACAAGACACTGTGCTAACCCCGGGAAGGCGTGGCCGTGTCTGCTTCCCCAGCCTCCAGGCATGGACCCTTGTTCCTACTGGTGATCTGGCTGAGAGGGAAAGCTGCCATGTCCCCAAGGGAATGCCCTGGTCTCTGCAACCTCCCGTGTCCTGCCCCTTTCGCCTCCCAGCGACACCCCCTGTTCCTGCAGGTCCTGGGTCTGCAAAGGCTGCTGCAAGAAGGCAGTCTGCCTTCTGGGTCCTGGGCACTGTGGCCCGGCTCCCCCTGGGGTTTCACAGGTTATAGGTTAGAGCTCGGCCGGTTGTTCTTGGAAGAGAGAGGCAGAGCACAAGCAGCTAGGGGGATGCCAGGCTGGAGCCACGCCAAGGTCACCGGTCCCCTCCTCTGCCTGCCCCAGGACCGCAGGCCGGCGGGGTGGCTGGGCAGAGCCGGGGTAAGAGAGCTCGCCAGCTCCGTCTGGTTCACCCCACCTTGTCCCTGGCTGCTCTGCCTCACCAAGGGCAGGTGTGTCGGCCTGAGCGGGAGGAGGAGCTTTGGAAATACCTGTCTCCAGGCCACAGAGAGAAGGACTGACCCCCTCTCGCCATTAGTGTGATTCATGGCTGTCACAGCTAAGCTGCGGGGGGCAGAATTAGCCAGCTCAGGCCAACTGCTTGTTGATTCTGTGGGGCCAGCCTCAGGCCCGTGACAGGTTGCGCAATAGTAGGGCACCTGCCAGGGCAGGTGATGCTGTGATCGGATGTCCGGAGGACTTGGGGTGGGAGGGGCAGGCGGCAAGGCCCCCCTGCACAACCGGAAGAGTGGGTTCCTGCCCTGAGCCAGGCAGGAGGCGCAGGGCATCTCCTGAGTCCCACGGTCTCTCTAGCTGTGGGAGCATGGGCAGACCCCAGCTTCTCTCTGTTTCCCTAGGGTGGGCTGGGCTTCCTGCCACCTAAGCCTCAGTCTCCCCAAGTGGAGAAGGGCCATTCGTCCATCTCTTCCCCGTTACCTCGTGGGGTCAAAGGGGTAGAAGGGCCGGAAAGCACTGGAAGGCGTGTGCGCTGGGACTGTCACTGGTGGCGGGGCTGCCACGTGTGCCCTGCCTCGTGTTGGGGAGCAGGGCCCCCCTCCATCTGTAGGTCTGGGTGCGCGTTCTCACTTGTCCACCACTCGCCGTTTCATCTTCTGTGAAGCCAGTGTCCCGACACCTGCCTGGCTGAGTGGGGCGGGGGTGGAGCAGACACTCAGGGGTACCCAGAGCTGTGATGTGCACACTGCTGTGGTCAGGAGAGGAGACCATGCCAGGCTGGGAGCAGACGTGACCTGGGCCGAGGCCTCACGGAGGCCAGGGTGGGCTCGGCAAGCTGTGAAGAACACGAGTGGTTGCAAAGCCACCCGTGAGCCATGTGAGCCACCTCAGAGGAGTCCAGAAGCCTGGGGGGCGGGGAGCAGGGAGAGGTGGCTTGCCCCTGGAGGCCTTCCTGGAGGCAGGGAGCCTCCAGATGCTCTCTGGAGGCAGGAGGAGTGTGGGTACCAGGAGACGAACAGTCCCTGCTCCAGTTCAGGCTCAGCCGGAAATTCTGGGAGAAGCCAAAAATGTATTTCTCCCAGGGGACTATGGGAGAAGTGGGTCCAATGGGTTTGTCCTTGTCACCAGCTGGTGACCTTGACTCCGAGTACATTGGCCCTTGGCAGTTCCCAGGACCTCCGTGCCCCACACTCGGGCTGTCTTAAAGCCAGCACTTGAGGAATGGACCTCCGGGGCCCACCTCCTCCCAGCCGTGCTGTATAAGACCCCAGGGCCCTGGCATCTGGAGCCGCAGCCGGAGCCAGTGCTGTTCGGGGTCCAGGACCTGTGGGTGGCGCAGATGGCATCCCGAAGGACTACCTGCCCTGCCCGGTGGCCACGGTTCCAGGCTTCTGAGGGCTGGAGTCAGGCTGTCTCGGGGCTTCTGGCTTCTGCCTCATCGAAGCCCCCTTCCAGCCGCAAACCAACACCAGGAAGAGCTGACTTGGAGCCTGGAGTTCAAGGCCATGGCTGATGCGCAGAGACCAGGGCTGGTGTGGAGAGCGCTGTTTGGGCAGCTGAGAGTACAGGCCTCTGCTCTGTGGCTGCCAGCACCGGGGCGCAAAGGCAGCTGGAAGTCTCTGCCAGGGCCCTCCTTACCCCACCAGCCCACCAGAGACCACCTCAGGTTTCTGCTCTGAGTCTAACGGGGCAGACAGAGGCCTGTGTGGGAACTCTGAGGCACAGTAGCTGAGGGCACTGCCTGCTGGGACAGTGCTGAAAGGTGGAAGACCCCAAACCCAGAGCAGGAGCGCGTTGATGCCCCCTTTGGCTCCAGCCTGGAGCAGAGAGGCAAGGGGGCTGGACGTGGCAGGCGGGGGGCTCTCCTGCCTACATCCCTTCTGGGACAGCAGAGTGATGTTCCCATGCCTGTCGGCTCCACGTGGCAGGGAAGATGCAGAGCAGGAACTGGGGCCAGACACGCCGGGGTAGCTGCGCTGCTTGGGTCTGTTTGGGGAGGAGAGGGAGGTGGTGGCAGAGACCCGAGGCTCCTGGACGGGAGGCGCTCCCAGGAGTCTGCTGTGGATGGTGCCCCGCTGGGGCCTGAGCCAGGGGAAGGGGTTGTGTCCCCCGGGCTGGTTCAGGCCGAGGAGAACGAAGCTGCCACTCATCAAGACCCCTTCGGCCTAGCACTTCACAAACATCGTCCCTACTCCTACAGCGACCCCCCAAGGTAGGTGTTAAAGATGGAAGCAGGCGGCGACCTCCGGGGCCATGGCAGTCCCAGAGCCAGGGTGCAAAGCGGCTTACTCCAGGTGGCCTGGCCCCTGGCACCCCTGCTGGGAGGAGGGAGGGGCCACCCTGGAGCTGTCCTGGGGGACATGGCAGCCACAGGTCAGGCCTCTGAGGGAGGATGGGACAGCTCCTTGCCCCAGTGCCAGCCAGGCCCTGTCACTGACCTCAGCCCGCTGGGATGGGGTGGGGGACAAGGAAGATGACTGAGGAAAGCTGGGGACATGAGCTAGGTAAAGGGACGGGACCACAACTTTGAAGCCCCGGAAAGGACAAATGGGCAGCAGGCTTGGGAGGGGCCCTGGACAGGGGGCAGGGGTGGGAACAGGAGTAGTGAGAGAACCCCCCCAAGAAGGGTCTGGGGGGCAGTGGGGGTACTGACCCCCTGCTGCCCCTGCGACACAGTGACTTGTGTGCCCAGGCCAGGTGGCAGCACAAGAGGGCGGCCCTGGACCAGCTGGGCCTGCCTGTGCCCCGGCCGGACCGCTGTACCTCCCTGGGGCTGAAGGAGCCATGGAACAACGCCAGGGTCCACGCCATGCTGCCCCACACTCTGGGGTCCAGGACCGAACCAACAAAGAGAACTTCTCACTTCTCGGAGCTTATATTCTACCTGGGAGAAAGACAAGATAGGAAAGCCCATGCCCCGTGGGACAGTGGTGCGTGTGCACAGCAGAGGTAACTGAGAAGGGGCTTGAGGTGCTGCGTCTGAGTAGATCTGACGAGGAAGACCTGAGGACAGTGGGAGCTGAGCCTGGAGCCTGCGTTCAGGATGGGAGGCCAACAGTCTGTGCAAAGGCCCTGAGGCAGGGCTGTGCACTGAAGGGTTAGAAGCTGGTCAGAGACCAGCGTGGCTGCAGTGAGGAGAGGGGCAGGGGAGTCACAGGTCAGTTCCCACGAGAGGTCGCTGGTGCAGACTGAAAGGGGCCTTTTAGGACACACAAGGCCCTTGGCTTACCCTCAGAGCTCTCAGAGGGCTAGCAGGGGGGTGAACCACGTGTATGGCACGGGCATTGGAGGGGGCAGCCAAGGACGCCCTTTCCAGCCTCTTGGTCTACAACTCCAGGAGGGAGGCGTCTTCCTTCACAGCACGAGGGCTGGGTGGGGAATGCAGGCGGAGTGTGTGTGTGTGTGTGTGTGTGTGAGAGAGAGAGATTGTGTGAATGCCAGTGTGCAAGAGTAACAGAGAGTGTGTAGGGGCAGGGGCGGTCCAGCTGAGACCGCCACCTCCCTGGACCGCAGGTCACGTGTGTGTTTGCAGCAGGTCCCCCGCCCGGAGGCTCATGCACCTGTCACAGCGCCCCGCGGTCTGGGCTGTCACAGCAGGCAGGTTCCCACTTGGGACATGTGACAGGGCCCCTGGGCAGCTTTGCCCGTGCCAGCCTCACCGGGGGTGGGGAGAGGCACAAAGAGCCTGGGGTCAGGGCTGCCAGCTCAGGGGAGACAAAAGCTGAGGCCAGACCCAGCATCTCCCCGGCGCTGTGGCTCGGTGGCTGGTGCCAGGGCGACCCTGAGGGAGACCCCAGACCCAGGTCAGCCCCACAGAGGCCGTGAGTCTCGGCCTGCCCTGGGCCCACGGGAGGCCTTGGTGACCTGGGAGCAGGGGCTGCCACAAGGCTCTCCAGGCTGCATCCCGGCCCCGGGACCAGAGGATGGGCTGCCTTCCGGCCATCCCCTGCTGGCCCCAACCAGCAGCCGGCAGAGGCCTCATTAGGCTGCAGGCGACTCTGGCTCGATCCTCAGTTCTGCCGTCACAGCCTGTGCAAGTCCCTGGGGGTGGCCATGGGAGCGGCCCCCGTACCAGCCTGACTCCAGCCCTGCGGCCACTCTTGCTCTCTCTGGAGTCTCAGGCCCTAGGCCCAGGCCCTGAAGACCATTCCCACCCCACAGAGGCACAGTCTCAGGGGACACAGGGCTACAGGATGGGGCGCTGGGGCAGATACATCAGGCACAGGACAGAGGGACCTGCAGGATGGCAGTACAACCTCCCTCCCCCACCCCCAGTAAAAGCTCAAGGGGCTCCGCCCACAAATGCCCGTTACGTCTCCTTCAGGGGCCTGGAGGAAAAAGGGGGCTCTGATTCCGCCGGCTCCAGGCAACCTTTTTGTGCACCCTGGCTGCCCTCCTTGAGCCCTTGTGAGGGCTGTGGGTAGCGTCCCCTTCCTCTGGTGCAGGGGAGGTCAGACCCTCCCCGCCCCCCCCCCCCACCCCGGCCCCAGCTGGCTCTCACGTGGCTCCCTTGCCCCAACCCATCCTGGCGGCCGGGCAGGAGCTGAGGGCTCTCTTCCAGCCCCTCCTCTCCGCCCCCGTCTCTTCCTGGCTCTGGGCTCAGCTGAGGTGTGCGGGCAGGCAGTGCCACTCCGTGCATCTGGGCCCCAGGCGACAGACACGTCCCGCCTGTGTCACGCCCCTGGACGCGGCCAGCAGCTCCTGCCATGGACAGGTGGTACCCGGGTGAGTCCCCCGAGGCCAGTCCCGCCCACCCCAGGTGTCCTCCATCACTTTCAAGTGCACCCCCCGGCTCCCCAGAGGGGCAGGAGAGCAGAAACCAGGAGCGACGAGGGCGTCTCAGCGTGCAGTCCTGGCCTGCTGGGTACGCGTGCCGTGCGCTCAGCACAGCCTCCTGGGCCTGCTGGCTGTGCAGACACGATCTACCGGAACTCTGAAGGCGGGCCGTGCTGCAAATCCTGGCTCCCCACTTCCCAGCTGCTGGTCTCTGCAGATTATTTGACTTCCTGTGACTGGGCTGTCCTGTGTTGTTTCCCTGTTTTATCAGAGACACTAAAAACGCTTCCCTTCCTTCGCAGAGCCGTGGTGGCAACGAAAGACTGTTTTTGTAAAGCACAGCTGTGCCTTGCACATAAAGGCTCCGCATGTGGCCATCGGCTTGCTCTCCTGTTGTCACCTCTCGGTCATCTGTCTCTGGCTAGCATCTACCCAGCTATCTTCATCATCTGTCATCATCACCCATCATCTGTGTCATCACCAATCCATCTGCACCTGTTAGCATCTATCTCAATCTGTCTGCCTGTTACCTGTATTGATCATGTATCTATCACCATCATCAATGTGTCTCCATCTAGTGGTTATCTCTCCGTATCTACTGTCTATCATCGGTCACCATCATCATCTATCCATCGTGCCTATCATCTCTCAGTCCATATCTACCTATGATCTGGCGTGTCTGTCTGCCTGTCTGTCTGTCTGTCTACATCTTTCATCTAACTTTCCACCTGTGCTTCCCTCCTTGTTATTCCAGGAAGCCTCTGTGGTGGCTCCCAGGACAGATGATGCCCACTGAGCTAACGGGATGGCAGGTGACAGGGGCGCCACTGTCAGAGCTCATGGGATGGCGGGTGACAGGGGCACCACGTCAGAACTCATGGGATGGTGGGTGACAGGGGCACTACAGTCAGAGCTATTGCGATGGTGTGTGACAGGGGCACCACAGTCAGAGCTCATGGGATGGCGGGTGACAGGGGCACCACAGTCAGAGCTCATGGGATGGCAGGTGACAGGGGCACTACAGTCAGAGCTCATGGGATGGCGGGTGACAGGGGCACCACAGTCAGAGCTCATGGGATGGCGGGTGACAGGGGCGCCACAGTCAGAGCTCATGGGATGGTGTGTGACAGAGGCGCCACTGTCGGAGCTCATGGGATGGCGGGTGACAGGGGCACCACAGTCAGAGCTCATGGGATGGCAGGTGACAGGGGCACCACTGTCGGAGCTCATGGGATGGCGGGTGACAGGGGCACCACAGTCAGAGCTCATGGGATGGTGTGTGACAGGGGCACCACAGTCAGCTCATGGGATGGCGGGTGACAGGGGTGCTCTACCCACGTGAAGAGTGGCAGTAGCTTGAGCTGCGTGGCCTGGAGGAGCCGGGCTTTCTAGCTCGGGGTTTGGTGCTAATCGTAGGTTCCAAGCGGGTCCCTCAGCCTCCTGCCTTCGGTTCCTCAGGTTTCCCAGGGGAGCGCGGGCCACCTCCAGGGGCGGCTGCAGGCAGCCAAGGATCAGCCTCGGCTTCTTTTTTAAAATTTTATTTTTAAATATTTATTTATTTTACTTGAAAGAGTTACAGAGAGGCAGAGGCAGGCAGAGAGAGAGAGAGAGAGAGAGAGAGAGAGAGAGAGGTCTTCCATCTGCTGGTCCACTCCCCAGATGGCTGCAACAGCCAGGAGCCAGGAGCTTCTGCATTCCCTACGCAGGAGCAGGGGTTCCCCAAGGACTTGGGCCATCTTCCACTGCTTTCCCAGGCCATAGCAGAGAGCTGGATCGGAAGTGGAGCGGCCGGGAATTGAACCGGTGCCCACATGGGATGCCAGCAGTGCAGGCGACGGCTTTACCCGCTATGCCACAGCGCTGGCCCCCAGCCTCAGCTTCTTTACCTGCAAATGGCCCCCCAGGGCTAGGGAGCTCTCTGTGGATGTACGAGGGGCCTCCGGATAGACCATAGGGGAAACGGTATCCTAAGATGGTGCGGGTTTTCTGTTGCCTTTTGAAGCCCCCTTGTGCTGCTGACCACCAGCTCTGAAAGCAGAAGAGAGGCGCAGGGGTGTGACAGCCGCCTGCAAGGTCGTAGGGTGGTGACCTCCCTCCCTCCATCTCGCTCACTTATGCTCGTTTTCAGCGGGGAGGGGCTGGGTGTTCACTGTCCAATGCTTTTGGTGCCTGTGGTTTTTCTGATCAACGCAAGAACAACACTCCCCGTTCCAGCCACATGCTACACCCTTCACATGCCTTATCTCACTCTTCACAACCCTAGGAGCCAGGACTGTGCCCATTGTACAGGTGAGGAGACTGAGGCACAGAGAGCTTCGGCAAGTGCAGGAGCCTTGAAGTCACAGATGGAGCGGCTCCCTTTGGAAGGAGCAAGCTGCCCCAGGTGGACGCTGCCCGCTGGCCTCAGCCCTTTGGGTGCCACTGGGCGTCAGTCTCTTCTGGAGACCAATTCAGATGATTCAAATGGAACAAGGTCTCTGCGGTGCTCACTGAGTCCTGGGCACTGGAGTCTCCAAGGAGAGGGAGGTCATGGGAGACAGCTGGGAGGGTCAGGGACAGCCCCTGACTTCTGAAGCCCAAGGTCTCTTCATCAGTCTCCCCATTGCTCCTCACGGGCTGTGTGACCTTGGGCAGGGTCCCCAACCTCTCTGTGCCTCTGCTGCACAGGCGCCTACAGTGCCCCAAGGGGAGGGGAGCAGAGCCAGGCTCTGAGGTGTGCAGGGAGGCACTGGCACAGGCAGGGAGACCCTGGGGGGCTCTGGTGGGGCATCTCTGGGAGCCCCTCAGGGAAGCCTTGAGTGCCGGGTAAGGTGCCCCAGCGGTGCAGTCCCGTCCACGGGGTGGGGGGCTGAGGGGCCTCCCTGGGATCCCCGCCTCTGCCCCCAGAGCTCCAAGTGCAGCACAGGCTGAGCCTTGCGCTTCCCCTTTCCCACAGCTGGCGAGGTGACCCCCGCTGACCCATCCCTGGCCCTTCTCTCTGGAAATTTCCTTTGGGAGGGTTTGGAAACCCAGCCGGCCCCTCCCTCCCCACGCACCTCCTCCCTGCTCTGCGGGAGCCCCTGCGTCCCCACCACAGCTTTTCTTGTGACCAGGGTAAATATTACCTGGCACTGTTAATGTTTAATGCCCGCACCTCGTCCCGGCCACCTGCGGCACACGCAGAGGCGGCAGGAAGCGGCGGAGGAGCCCGGTGGGCTGGGGAGATGGCAGGGCTGCCGGCTGGGGATGACGGTGAGTGTGTGCCTGCCTCGGCTGCGCAGCCGCCCTGAGGACCCCTCTTCCCTCCACGTGCCAGCTCCCTCCCCGAGAACATCTCCTAGCCTGCCTTCACCCCAAAGCCATAGAGCGCGAGTGGCAGAACTGGGGGCAGCAGGTAGAAGCCGGTGTGCACGCAGGCAAGGGGAGCAGGGAGGGCTGGCTGGGGGAGGGGCAGGCCCTCTGGTTAGCCCGGTCCCAGCCCTTCAGGTTCAGGACACACTCCCCAAAGGCATCCCGTGATGAGAAATGACTCAGGCCTGTGCAGACCAAGCGGACACCTGCTGACTGGGTGGCGGGGCAGGGGGGACCGGGCGGGAAGGTCAGCTGTTCTAGAAAAGCCTAGGGTGTGGGGTGGGGGAGGGGCTCTTCAAATGGCTTGAGCAGGGAGTGGTTTCTTGTGGCAGGGAGGGGTGTCCTGGCTTGGGTCTGGCTGTGGCTTTGATGTGAACTCTCGATGTGACCTTGAAAAAGACTTGACCTAGTCTGGGACGATGCCCTTGAGGGGGAAGAGGGCTCCGCAGCCCCCACGGCCTGGCCCTGGCCTCTGGTCCTCCTGACCTGTCAGGCCCTTCAGGACTGGGCACTGACCCCTGCCGGGCGGCTCTCTCTTAGTCCTAAGATGGGCTGCTGGGGACAGCACAGCCCAGGAGGTGCCCACTGGAGCGGAAGAGCTGGCCAAGGGCGAGCGTGCACCTCGCAGGGCTGGGGGCAGGCCTGCGACCCCTACTGGCTGTGAGTGGCTCTGAGGCGGGGTGGGGAGGCCACAGGGCCAGGGCCAGGCGCCTTTACCTTGAGAGGCCTCCTTCCAGCCTGCCGGGAGGGCTTCTGCTCCTGGGTGCTTCGCCACCTCCTGGTTCAAATCCCAGCCCCACCCCTTGCTCGCTGTGTGACTGCGGGTGAGTCACGTGCCCTCTCTGTGCCTCTGTGCTCTTGTGGGTTACAGTGGAGTAGTGGTGAGGCCTCGAGGGGTTGTCAGGGGTTAAACAAGTGGCAAGGACCACCCACGGCTGTCAACATTTCTGACAGCGGTGTGCTGGCTCCGAGCAAGCGGAGCGAGCAAGCAAGCGCGGTGACAAAGGACAGCAGCTCTGACACTAACTGGAAACAGCTCAAGACTCCTGGCTCCACCTGCCCCGGGGACGTTGGCTCGCTTTCCTCCTCTGGGCCTCAGTTTCCTGTTTCTGCTCCATGAACTTGGAGGTTCTGCTTCATTCAGTGATCCCCAGATAGCTGCAGCTTCCTGAGAGACAGGCTGCGGGCGGATGAGCGGGCGGGCGTCTTTCTCAGCCTCGAATCGCCACGCACAAGCAAGGAGCAGGAGACCCGGCCCCTCCCTGACGTGCTGCCGGCCCCTCAGCCCCGTAGATGGGGGTGGCCGGCTGTGTGCCTCCTGCAGGGCACGCGCAGACCCGCTGGCCTCCTCTGCTGGGAGCCTGCCTTTGCCCTCTGCAGGCTTCCGCAGCTGGGAAGGGGAGGACCGGAAATTCCAAGTTCCCATGCTGGTCACTGCGTAGACTCCCTGCCCCCGCCCCAGCATACCTGTGGCTCTCTCCTCAGGTGGAAGCCCCAAAGGGGAAGAGGACCCATTCCACTATGGTAAGCCTGGGGACCCCACCTCCCCTGCCAGCTGGCTCACAGCCCCTCCCCCTGCCTGTGTCAATGCCCCTTTGCCCCCCATCCCCGCCCCATTGCCCTGCGGCTGCTGTGGGTGGGTGGCCAGGCGGGCTGCAGGGACAGACTCCATCCCGCCTCTCTTGCCCTCTCTTTGCCCAGACTACGAGACTGTCCGCCAGGGAGGCCTGATCTTCGCTGGCCTGGCCTTCGTCATAGGGCTCATCATCCTCCTCAGTGAGTGGAGGGGGGTGCTGGATGGGGGCGGGTCTCCCCCCAGAGCCACTGAGCACAGCACTGGCTTCCCAGGTCCACTCCCGCCCCAGCACGGCAGGGGGTGCCCAGTGGGATGCCAGGCTGCTTGGACCTTAGACCACAGAGCAAGGTCCCCTCTGACTCCTGTGCGCCCTCTAGTGGACCCAGGAGGCGCTGCCGAGATGGGAGGGCTTGAACCTGAGGCATAATGGGGGCGGGGGGGGGGGGCACCAGCCTGCACCTGAGCCACATCTTAGCCCATTCAGTCCTCTGGGCACCACTGAGGGAGGCCCGACCGCCAGCCTTTTACAATGACAAGGCAGGCCCACCTGAGAGGTACATTAACTGGCCCAGGTGTGTCTGCCTTCTCACAGCCAGGGGCCAGACCCTGCATCGCAAACCCCCAGGGCCCCACTCTGCTAAGTCAGGCTGACCCCTGCTGCCATCCAGAGACTTGGGGGGCCCAACAGTACCTCAGCAAAGGCCATGCGTACATGGGGGCTGTGACAGAGGGTCCCCCAACCTCAGCAGGCACAGGGCAGGAGCTTACTAAATGCTGCTGACTTGTTCTGGCACAACCAAAAGACAAATACACAGACACGTGGCCAAAGGCAAGGAGATGCTGCACACAGCACACACAGCCTTGTGTCCCGGAATCCTAACGCACTCCGGCCACCACGGCATGGGGGTGGAGGGCACACGAACCCAAGCAGGGGTCCGAGCGGGGCTCGGAGGGGCTTCCTGCCACGTACGTCCCAGTGCTCTGTGCCCGGTGCTGTGAGCGCCCGCACTGTTCCCCGTGGGTCCACTGCAGTGAGCGTTCGAGGGTTCCTTAAATGTTCTGGGTCCGGCCCTATGTGAGGTGACCCCAAGCCCTAAGCCAGTGACGCCGGTGGCTGGTCAGGAGGATGGGGAGAACAGAGGCTGATGACCCCATCTTTCAGAAGTCTGCGAACTTGAATCCCTTTTTCTCCTTTCAAGGCAAAAGATTCCGCTGTGGGGGGCATAAGAAACGCAGGTGAGTGTGCCCGGGGAACCGTGGGGGCGGGCGGGGGTGGGATGAGGATTTTGTCTCTGGGGCTGGGAAGGGGTCCTCAACCTGAGAGTCCCAGCCCCAGCCCTCCCGCCGGCCTCTGACCTGTCTCTGCCCCCCAACCCAGGCAACTCGGTGAAGACGAGCTGTGACAGCAGGTGCGTCGGGGAGGCGGGGGGCTGGGACTGGGCTGGGAGGAAGTCTAGGGCTCATGGTGGGTCGTGGGGTCTGCCACCCGCCATGGGTTTCTGAATGATTGACAAGTGCCTGGGGTGCAGCGCATGACCTAGGGAAGCTGACGGGGGGGGGGGACCAAACCCCAGCTCCCAGTCCCTCTCCTGCCTCCCTCTTTTCAGACTCAGCTGAGGACCCCCATCTACGCCGGACCGCCGACCCACCTCCTGTCTGCCAGGCTCAGCCTGATCAATCGTGGTGGGCTTTGCCTCCTGCCCGCACCACCTCCTGCCGGTAATAAAGCTGGCTTCAGAAATGGCCCCTTCCCCCGCCTACCTTGTTCCGTAACTGTCTCCAAGCTGGATACAAACACAGCCTCCGTCATCCCTGTGGCCTGTAAAAGCAGTAGCTTGGTGTCACCTGGACCGACAGCAGCCGGGAAGGGGGGTGCTGGGGGGACGGGGGGGGGGGCGGGGCAGGGCGGGGACAGAGGCCCTGGGCGGCTTCCAGGGCCTGGGGTTTCCCTGAGAGGAGTGACCCAGCCCACCAACCTTGTAGCTGCCTGCGGCCACCACCTATGTTGGGCGCTGCCAGTTCGCCCAGGGTGCCCCAGGGTGGGGGCGCCCCAGGGCGGGGGGCCGGGGGGCCCTGAACCGGATTCTCCCCGCCACCCCCACCCCTCGGGGCCAGGAGACCCCAGCTGAACCCACTCACGCCCACCTGTGGGCCCCCCTCCCCCGTTAAGCTCAGCACCAGAGGCTCAGCAATGGGCACCGAGGGCGAGCCCGTTGTTCCCACGTCTTCCAGGGCCTTGTCCATTCAGGCATCCTCAACCGGCCTCCCCGCCCGGGCCACCCCGCCCTCCAGCCTCCCTCCCTGCCCACAGTGGTCGCCCGGGGGCCCGCGGCGTGGCGGATCCGGGCGCCACCTAGCGTCTGGTTTGCTCACCTGCGTCTGCAGGCATCCGAAGGAAGAGCCCAGGGAAGTTTCTGGGGTTCAAACTTTGCAGGGTGAGTGGGGAGGGGCAGGTGGGCCACCTTTCCTCTTACGAATTACACTCGTGATCCAAGCCCACTGCCCCTGAGCCCTGAAGCCCAGCAACCCACAGAAGGGACACCGGGGAACCCAGGGAGGCCCCCAGGCCATCAGAGCCAGAGCTGGACCGAGTCTGTGGCTCCCCTCATGTGCTCTTCCCAGCACCTTGGCACCGAGGGGCCGGCGGGGGGAGGTGGACTTCCTGGCAGACCACCTGTGCCCCAGGAAGCCTGGGCCAGCAGGGGCCAGCAGGGCAGAGCCTGGCAAGGTCTGTGACGCCTGCTCTGAAGATGGGCTCCCAGATAACACCAGTGCCACCGGTCACCCCCAGGCAGTGTTCAGTATTTCTGTATGGGGGACAGATGCACACAGGAGCAGCCGCCGGGGGAGATCAGGAGGGAGGTGGTTCCTCTCCCAGAAACGGGAGGAGCTGCGTCGCAGGCCTGCAGTCCACGTGGGCAAACGTGAGATGGCCGTTCTGGAATGTTCTATTCACCAGCCCACGGAGCCGCCCGCACTCAGAGGGAATTCCAGGGGCTCTGGAGGGGAATGGGTCCTGGGTGAGTCACTTCCCGTGGGTGACCCTGATGCAAACCCCCTGCTGGAGAAACGTGAGACTGCATCGGGTCCTTTTCAAACCTCCAGACCTGCTGGAGAGGCCCCTTGAGGTGGGGTTCGCACAGGAGGAAGCCTGACACGCCCCTAGGGGACCCCTGGGGACAGGTGGGGGGAGGTGTGGCCGACCCCCTTCCCCCAGGACGCTAGGGAACAGTTCCCCTTCTCCCTCCAGGAAGGTCAGGTCGCCTGCAGCTGCTGAACTTTCACTTCCCTTCGGGATTTTCCACAGTTCAGATCTGTACTGAGTCACACTGCGAAGTGATTACGTGAATTGGTCTTAATCATCCAAGAGTTGACAAAAGCAGCCTGGGCCTGAGAGTGCAGTTCCACCTATTGCCACCAGAGGGAGCATGAGGCTTAGTCCGATTCCCTTCCATGGCCGGTTTTCAGCCTGGCCTTGGCCACGGTCCGGGGCACAGGGGTTCCTGCTTGGTCTTCCCAGCGCCCACATTTCCTGGGACAGCCCTGAGTTCTTCTCCTTCCACACGCACAGCCCCTCCCCGCCAAGTCGCAGAACCGTCAAACCCTTAGGTGCAGAGAGGTGCAGGGTGGGAAGGGGAGGCGGGGCCTGGCTGGGGTCCGTGTGCAGATTTGGCCTGAGCTGATGGGCATCGGTGGGTCTCACTCCGGCCCTGGGGGAGACTGGTGTGGAGCCAGAATTGAAAGTCACAGCCTAGCAGGTGGGCGTGGCCCGGCAAAGCAGGAGGACAGCTCCACCGTGTCCCTGCCCACTGCCCAAGAGAGTGCTCTCAGGGAGACTAAAGGCCACAAGCTGGCTGCATCAGAGGGCAGCTTGGGGGGAGGGGGGAGCTTTGCCTGCTCATCCTTGGCCAACAGCCTTTCCTCACAACATCCCAGGACAGGAAGACCTGGGGGTGAGGCCCCCAACTCCACACCCACCCCCTCCCCCCGCCGTGGGCAAGAGCTTGGCTGGTGAGCCCCCGTGGTGCCCCGCCCCGTGCATGCTCAGCCCCACTGCCCCGTCTCACCCAGCCTGTGACAGCGCAGGGAGGGCAGAGAAGGTGCTCGAGGGTGGGGCTGGGCGGCCCGAGGCAGGGCCAGCTCCTGCCCAGGTATGGCCCACCCATCCCAGGGATTGGAGGGTGGGGCTGGACAAGCACGGACTCCACAGCTGATCTGCCCGGAAAGAGGGTGCTCCTGCCCTGGCCTCTAATTTCTGCTAGTGCTTTGGGACCTTGGCACAGAGCCTTACCCCACCCTGGCAATCCTGAACCTTCCCCAGTTGGACAAGGAGGGGCCAAAGAATCCCTGCTAGGATCTCCCTGTTCCCACCTCCAGTGGGAGCAGGGCGTGGTGGGTGGGGGTGCTGTGCTGACATTGTAGGGGGTTCGCCCCAGGTCCCCCTGCCACTCCACGCTCCAGGACAGCAGGGCTGCTGCTGGGGAAATCCGTGGCCTTGCTGTGGATCTGTGCCCCAGGATTCCACAGGGCCCTCTGGGCTAGTTCACCAGCTCCTCACCAAGCGCCCATTCCTCATCAGCCGCCTGACCAACTCCTGACCAGGGGAGCGCAGAGGCAGGTGGCATGGCCAGCCTGCCGTGTCACTGCAGCGGGTCACTGGCCGAGAAGATGGATCAGACCCGGGCCTCCCAGCAGGGCCACAGCAGTGCTGTCAGGAGGACAGCGCAGACACCAGGTTGTACTGGGAGAGCCCGGGAGGTGCCCAGGTGTCTCGGCTTTGGGAGAAGCCCATGGCTCAGACCCTGCGCCCCCTCCCGGGTCTGGTGCAGGAGTCTCCCAGCCCGGGACACGCTGGGCGTTTGTGAGTGGAAGGCCTGAGTGCCGGGGAAGAATCCTGCTTAGAGCTTCGACCTTGGATGGAGACGGGAGATGGGGGCACGTGCCTCCCTGATGTGCACGCACCTCCGGCCTGGAAAGCTCTGGAACGAGCTGCGTCCTGGGTGGCAGTGCCCAAACCCTGGCTTCCTGTGACCCCCAGTGACCTCCCGTAATCCCGCCCCCATTCCTGGAGGCCTTCAGTGGCTCCTGGGGGCTGTCTGTTTCTAGAGCTCAAAACCTGGTTCCCGTTTCAAGAATTTCCCACCTTTGCTTCCCTAACAGGCGTCTTTGGTGTCACTGTGAACACAGGTGTCACAGGTGCGCACACAGGTGCACACAGCATGAGGGAGGGGCAGGGGGGCAAGTGGTTCTGAGCTGGGCCAGCAAGCTGTGGAAGGGGGGAACTCACTTCCCTGCTGTGTGACCTTGGGCTCTGTCTCTAAACTTGGCTTTGGGAAAAACAAACACAAGACTGAAAGTTCCAAGCTTCAGCTTAAACTCAAGGGGCTGTGACTGCTAAGGGATGGAGGTGGCTGGGAAGCCATCGCCAAGCCTCTTGCTCGGACTTGACCAGAGAAGCTGGGTGCAGGCACTGACACACGCCCCTCTAGGTGCATGCTGGCTGCCCCCTGGTGGTGGGAGCAGCCACAGCAGGCAAGTGCAGAGGCAGAGGGACACATGTGACAAGGCACCGGGATGAGCCCGCCTTGGCCGGGAGCCAGGAGACTGTGGAATTCTCTCGGGGTCTTTGTTTCCAGAGAGGGCTATCAATCAGTAGCCAAGTACGTGTCTGGCGCAGCTGCCTGGGAGCTCTGAAGTAAATACAATTTCAGGTTCATGTCCGCGGACCAAACACTCTCCCTGCAGGTAAGGAAATCACTCAGGGAGCCAGTGGACAGACGCTTTCTCTGTCTTTCGTCTCTCTCTCTCTCTGCCTTTCAATTATAAACAAATAAACATTCTTTAAAAAGTCACCTGGGAGGAGGGGTCTGCGCTGTAGTGCAGCACGCTAAGCCTCTGCCTGTGGCACGGGCATCTCATTTGGGCACCAGTTCAAGTCCTGGCTGCTCCTCTTCCAATCCAGCTCCCTGCTATGGCCTGGGAAAGCAGTGGAAGATGGCCCAAGTGCTTGGGCCCTTGCATCCATATCGGGGACCTGGAAGAAGATCCTGGCTCCTGGCTCCGGACTGGCCCAGCCCTGGCCATTGCAGCCATCTGGGGAGTGGACCAGCAGATGGAAGACCTGTCTCTCTGTCTCTTCCTTTCTATAATTCTGCCTCTCAAATAAATAAATAAATAAATATTTTAAAAAATTCATTCTGAAATGGCCTTGAGCCCTCCGATGCCCACCTGGATAGACCTGTGCTATCCCAGGACCTGTCCCCACCAGCCTTCCCTGGCACCCTGGGGACAAGCCAGGGGACCCGCATCTCCCTGGCTCTCCCTGCACATCTGCACCTGGCGTCCACCACCAGCCCTCGGTGCTGCGCCCTTATTTGGTGAAGTGGCTCCAGGGCGGGATGGAACTGCTGTCCCCTGTCCCATCTGCATTCTCCTTCAAGGGCAGTCTGGGAAGGGCCAGCATCTTCCCCGCTCCACTCTGCAGGGACCCATGTGTGCTGTGCCCTATGCAGAGTGCATCTGGTCCTGCCACCATGGTCTCCTGCAGGCTGTTGTTGGGTACAGAGTCTTGGCAGGTGTCTGGGCTTGTGTGCTGTGCTCCGACTGGAGCTTGGAGTGTCTAGACCGGTCTGGTGGCAACTGTCATTTCTCCCCTGTGTCACGGTTAAGATCGCAGGCCTTGGAACCTGGGGTCCTGGATTTTAACCTCGACATGGCCATGTGTGAATTGTGTGCCTATGGGCAAGCTCCCTCTGAGCCTCAGTTTCCCCAGATGGAGAAACCTTTCCAGCTTGAGACCAGTCTTCAGTGGACAGTGGCTGTGAGGCAGCCACGGGTCTCAGCCACACAGTCCAGAGCACCACGTCAGCCACACCAAAGGCTTGGCCCGGCCTACCCTTGGACAGCTGCCTGCTGCCCTGGAACCCCCTGCCAGCTCAGACGTGGGTGCCCACTTCCCCTGAGCGGAAGGGACAGTGACCCAAGGCTGCTGTGCTGGGACCAGGAGGCACTAGTGAAAAAGAGCTCTTGGGGCCAGCGCCGAGGCTCACTTGGTTAATCCTCCGCCTGCGGCGCCGGCATCCCATATGGGCACTGTGTTCTAGTCCCAGTTGCTCCTCTTCCAGTCCAGCTCTTTGCTGTGGCCCAGGAGTGCAGTGGAGGATGGCCCAAGTGCTTGGGCCCTGCACTCGCATGGGAGACCAGGAGAAGCACCTGGCTCCTGGCTTCGGATTGGTGCAGCGCCAGCCATGGCAGCCATTTGGGGGGTAAACCAACGGAAGAAAGACCTTTCTCTCTGTCTCTCTCTGTCTATAACTCTACCTGTCAAAAAAAAAAAAAAAAAAAAAAAAAAAAAGAGCTCTTGGCCGGCTCACTAGGCTAATCCTCCGCCTGCGGCGCCGGCACACAGGGTTCTAGTCCCGGTTGGGGCACCGGATTCTGTCCCAGTTGCTCCTCTTCCAGTCCAGCTCTCTGCTGTGGCCCGGGAGTGCAGTGGAGGATGGCCCAAGTGCTTGGGCCCTGCACCCGCATGGGAGACCAGGAGAAAGCACCTGGCTCCTGGCTTCAGATCGGCGCAGTGCACCGGCCTTGGTGGCCATTTGGAGGGTGAACCAGTGGAAGGAAGACCTTTCTCTGTTTCTCACTGTCTAACTCTGCCTGTCAAAAAAAAAAAAAAAAAAAAGGAGCTTTTGATTTGGATTTTCTGTGTGTGCATGTTTGAGCATGCGTGGGGTAATACATGTGTGTGCACGCGTGTGTACATTGTGTGAGCATGCGTGCATGCATGTGTGTTGCTGGTTGTGTTGGAACCAGGAGAGGAGCCAGGGAAAGCCAGGTACAAGAGGGATGCCTGCGTGATGTCGGCCCCAGCCCGCCCACCTGGGCTGAGAATGAGAGGCCCCGGCGCGTCACCTCCAGTAGTTCATAGAGGCCCATAGAGGCTTTGGCCAGGGGCCAGGAGTGAAGCTGGACTTAGGGTGAGGACGGCCCACGGGGTTGGGCATTTGAACTAGGGCCGCTCTGGCGCTGCCTTCCCGGCCAGGGGCACTAGGGGGAGCCAGACAACCAAGTTCCCTGCGCCGAGGCCTGGGACTTAGGGGCAGCCGGCCGCGGGCGCGGTGGCAGGGCTGGCCGGGCTCCCGGGAGAGCAGAGCCACGCGCAGGGGCCGCGCGGAGTGGGCGAGGCGGCCCGGTTCCTCCCTGGGTCACTCCTGCCAGGGGGTGCAGGTGTGACGGCGGTTGTTCCGGGTCACCGTGGGGGATCTGTCCTCGCCGCCCTGGAACTCTTCCCAGATCCAAGCCTTTCCCCACAGGGGCCGAAAACACTGTCCTTGGCCTGCTCAAATGGCAGTGGAGATGAGGGGGAGCGGGCGCGGCGCGGCGAGGGCGGGAGTGGGGGCGGGGGGCGGCCGCGGCAGCTCCCTCAGTGTCTAAACCCTTGGGGTGGGGGGCTATCGTACACGCGTCCCCGGCAGACGGGAGTGAGCTGCGTGTGTTCCTGAGTGTGAGCAGGACACGGGAGTGGAAACCTCCATTTCCTTCTGTGAAGCGAGAGTGTGGATGCCCGTCTGGCCGTGGGGGGCTTTATGTGCGCATGCTTTGAGGCTGCTAAGCTCCGCTCCTCAACTCGGAGTACAGCCTGAAACTGACGTTTCTAAGGGGAACCCCTGCAGGTGAGCTTTGTTCCGCTTCTGCAAGTCCAGCTGGACCTAGCATTGAGCGTTAATTCCCTCCATGGAGTAGCCCCAACCCTGGCCCGGAGGTTTCTGGTACTCAGTCTCTGAGTGACACCTGCTGGCCCTATCAGGTACTGCATCCCCTCTAGCCCAACAACTCGGAGGAGGAAACTTGTCTTGGACAATCACCCTGCCAGACGGCTGTTACGTACCCATTGCTGCAGATGTGAAAGGTGAGACCTACGAGGCACAGTTATCCTCTGATTCCAGGTGCTTCAAATCCCTCCCACCTGCACTTCTTTCTCTGTTCCGTCTGGGGCAGCTGAGATCCCTGTTCATCACCTTGATTTAGAGACCAGGATTAGGGTCATGGCCAGCGTTGGAGTTCAGGATTGAACTCATGGAGGAAGATTTCTCATCCACGTGGCAACAGCTCTGCCAGGCAGAGAGCCCCGGTGCCTGGGTGTTTCCCAACTCTAGATAGACTGAGCGCGGTTTCCGCTATAGAGAGAAGGGCACTCAGGGAGGCCGGGCAGCCCTGTGAGGTGAAGGCTTGAGAACCAGGCTGCCACATGAACCAGTTGCATCTCGGCCGCCAGTGCAGCTGTTTGGGGTGAGGCCAGCCTGAAACCTGCTGGGGGGAGGGGAGGGCCGGGGCTGTGCCTGGCCCAGGGAGGCCCTCCGTCAGGACAGTGCCAACGGCTGTGGCTGAGAGTGGGCCTTTGGCCTTATCATTTAGAGAAGTGTGTACGTAGATGCCCTGGGGGAAATTACACAATTACGGGGGGGTGGGGGAGCTGGCTTCTGACACATCCGGGAGTGGAAGGGCGTGGACGCAACAGGCCTTCAGTGAACAATTGCTGCATCTGGTGAATGGGTGCATCACCGTTCATCCTACTCTTCCCTCTCCCTTGCTATATTTGAAATGTTCCCTGTTCCCTTTTTAAAAAGTACCAGCTGGGCAGGCATTTTGTCCAACAGTTCCAGTACTGGGAACACCCACAACCCTTGTCAGAGTGCTGGAGTTTGAGTCTTGGTTCCACTTCCGGTTCTAGCTTCCCGCTTATGCACACCCTCGGAAGCGGCAGGCGACAGCTCAAGTAGTTAGGTCCCTGCCCCCCATGTGGGAGACCTGGACGGGGCTCCTGGCGTCAGCCTGGCCCAGCCCCAGCCACTGCAGCCATTCAGGGAGTAAACCAGTGAGTGGGGGCTCTCTGAGTTTTCCTTCTCCTCTCTCTCTCTCTCTTCTCTGCCTCTCAGATAAATAGCTAATACCTTTGAAAAAGGCAACCGTGAAAACACTACCAGCACACACATCTGATGCAGAGTGCAGACCCTGCAGCCAGGCGGCTGGGCTGGATCCTCTGACCCCCCGTCGCTGTGGAGTTGGCTGAGTTAGGTCATTTCTCCGTGCCCCCATGTCCTTGTCTGTTAGCCATGATGCTAATGACACCAGCTGCACACGGGCGATGGAGGCGTGGTTGGGGCTGAGCCGCTGGAGCACTTGCAGGGCGCTGGCCTTCAGAGGCCATGGCTATGCTTGTGATTGGCTGATCCAGCTCAGTGCTCCGGGCTCTGACTGAGGAGTCTTCAGAGACCCGGCCCTGAGCTGCCCTGGGCTTGGAGGGGTCTCGGGTGGGTAGAGCCAGACCTTCCTGGCGCCCCACAGGGGCCCCTGTTCCTCACACCTGCTGGGGCCTCTTCCCTGTGGCTCTGCTGGCCTGGGCTTCCCACCCCTGAAGCCCAGCTTCCTACCTCCTACTGGGTTTCTGCCGACAGCTCCTTTCTCTGAGCTCGGGCAGCTCTCTCCATTCTCATCAAACCCCAGCACTAGATGAGGTTAAAAGCCACGGAACCCACCCAGGCCGTCATGCCTTTGTCTGACAAATACCCACCAAGGGCCTCCCCAGGGCCCAGCCCCTGCCTGGGTGCAGAGGAGGGAGGGGGCGCAAGGCAGGCACAATGGGTGGGTAAAGAGCATGGACAGCCTGACCCAGACAGAGGCAGCCTTGCCTCTGAGTGACCCGGGGTGCCCTGCACCTGCCAGCCGCCGTGCCTCCGCCATGGCACCGGGTCTGCACCTGCTCTGGCCTTCTGGCCCTGTGTCTCGCTGAGCACTGTCCGCACTGGGGTGCAGGCTCCCTGAGGATCGGAGCCGCACGTGTTGGGCTTTCTAGGGATCCCGGGATAATTTGTACAGGGCTGGGGACAAACTTGGAAGAATGAGTGACCAACGTGCTATGCCTCCTCTAGGTCAAGTGGGGCCAGGAGCAAAAGGACAGCGTGTTTAGAGCGAGAGAAGTGAGAAACTGATTATTCCCAAACACCTGACGCCATCCCCGCCACTCAGATTCACCACGCCCATGTGTTTACGGCTCTGGCACGAAACCTATGTACCTTTGGTTTTCCCAGTGTTTTCTGAGCCTGTTTGACCATGAATTCATTCCCCGCCCCCGTTACCTGCTCATGAAGCAC